GAAGGGAAGACTGAGGCTCTGTTTGGTCATGTTGGCCTGCCCAGGGTGACAGCCAGGGAGGGGGGCAGCTGGGGTCAGTGCAGGCTGCCCCCCGTTCCTGCTCACCCACCCGGCCGCGGACCGAGGCCAAAGACAAACCTGGGACAAGCTGCCGATGAGGCTGCTGAGGGAGCGAAGGTGTGGCCCCTCCCGACAGCCTCTGCCCCTCCCCACCCCCAAGTCACGGGTCTGCCTCTGAGACCCGGAAGGACTAAGCCAGCAGCTGCTGGTCCCCGCACCTGTCAGGCACTGTACCAGAAGCTTTCTCCACTTCACTGGATTCTACACGATGCCTCCTGAGACCAGCCTCCAAATTAGTCGTGAACAGAGGCTTCTCAGAGCTCAGTCAGCTCTCAAGGTCACGCAGCTGCCCCTGGATGGTGGGTGGCTTCCCAACCCGGCCCTGCCGGCCGCCGTCCTGGTTCCTCCAGGCCTCGTGTACCTGGGGGCAGATCAGGACTGTACCCGGAGGGATTATAGAAGCGGGATCACAGCGACTGCCAGGGCAGACCCGGGGAAGCCACGTCCCTCCACTGTGAACGTGAGTTCTGTGTTGATGTTACCGGTAATTGTTCTTTTCTTCCCGGCAAGGCTCCCCAGGCTGGGATTTCATTATCTCGGGGCGATTAAGTAGTCACGGCCCCATGGGATTGATCCTTTACCACTTGACTTTATGTTTTACGTTATTATTATCATCGCAGTCAGAGACTTGTTAAATGAAATGTTACAGCCGATCCAGAAGTCGTAGAGAAATGAGCCTGCTGCCTTCAGGGTTAGGTCTGGAGTGTGGTAGTTCGTGTCTCTCTCCGTTTCTCTCTCTAAGTTTTTTTTTTTTTAATAGACTATTTCTTAGAGCAGTTTTCAGTTTATAGAAAAATTGAACAGAAAGTAAGGAGTTCCCGTATACACCCCACCCCAAATCCCCAGTTCCCCCGTTAGCATCTGCCTGTTAGGTTGTTGGAATGTTTGTGTGTGCTCCATTTGTTACAACTGATGAACCAGTTTTGCTATATTATTATTAACTAGAGTGCACGGTTTCCATCAGGGGTCGCTCTTGGTGTTGCGTGTTCTCTGGGTTTGGACCAGCGTGTAACGACGTGTATTCACCCCTGTGTGCCGCCTGCTTGTCCCTCCCTCCCCACCCCTCACAACCAATGATCTTTCACTGTCTCTGTGGTTTTGCCTTTTTGATGACGTCATAGGGTTGGAGTCACGCAGTGTGCGGCCTTTTCAGACTGGCTTCTGTCACTTAGTAGCATGCATCTGAGGTGCCTTCAGATGGCTTCATAGCTCATGTCTTGATAGTTCTTGATGTAATGAGGTCTGGCCAGAACTGCCGCATCCCTGTCTAGGGGCCCACTCCTGTCCTGTCCTGCCACGGGAGGGTCCCGATCCCTCCTTGCTGCAGTCATGTACCAGCTGGGCCACCGCTTCTTGGCCCCAGTCCACTCGCCGGGCGGCAGCAGCAGTGACCACAGCACTTGCTCTGCCGGCTGCTGGGAGCACCAGTCCCCTTTGCAAAGCACCCAATCGGGCAGCTTCAGGAGGTTCGAGGAGTAAGTCCATCCTGAGGGGTAATCAGGCCCACACCTCAAATCCACAGGATTCTCAGGCTGGGATCCCAGGGCCAAGGGGGCAGATGCGGGTTGGAGGGAACACCTGCGCGGGTGGTACCTGCACGGACGGCCCCCTCTGTGCAGTGTCTACTTTCCACCACCAGGGGGCAGCACCCTGCCCTCTCGCCTGCCACCAGAGGCCCCAGCAGGTTGTGGAGGACGCGCCAGGCGGGCAGAGTTGGTGCTTCCATAAAAACGATCCTCTTAAAGCAGCTTTCACCCCAAATCAAACAGTATTTCCAGTAACCAGGAAACTGGTGATGTCAGGCTGTGTATCCTTGAAAATGACAATGGCTATTGTGTATTGAGCATTTATGGTCTGCCGGACCCTGGGCTGCTTGCTAGACAAGCATTTCTTTCCGTGGTCCTAGCATCCCCTGGGGCAGATGCTGTGAGCAGAGGCCGGATGGCAGATGGACAGACGCCTGGGAGTTCCAGGTTACTGCATGTAGGAGGTGAAGCTGGGCTGCACCCGGCCGTCTGCGCCCAGGGCTCTGACACCCATCCCCCACCACCACCACGTGGGTGGTGGGTAGACCTTGCCTGGCTATCCATGGAGACGTGAGGCACATGGTCCTTTGTGTGCGTGATGGATGAAAAGGTAATAGTGTTGAAGGTCTTTGCGGCCACGCCCTCACATCCTGATTTAGCCTGTGTGGACTGGGTGAGTCAGGAGCCCATCAGCCCCGTGTGAGCCCTGGGGCTGCCCTTGCACAGCCGTGAGCCGGCTCCGCCTGAGGTTTCAAACTTCAAGTCCAATGGCTCGTTCCGCACAGGGAGTCCTAACTTCTAGCCCAGGACATCCTTGCTCTCTGCCCCCTTTTACCAATTTTACTAAGTACTGGATGAGGCAGTTTCTGTGATCATCGTATGTTGACGCTTAAACCAGAGTGGAAATGTCAGCACAGCTCCCAGGACGGCAGACAGAGCTCTGGGGCCCTCGCTGGGCTCTGCACGGTCCAGTCTGCCGTCTGGTCCTGACGCCCTTGGAAACGCAGGCAGGCCTTGACCCTGGGCCTGGGGTACTAAGGGCGACACCAAATGATTTTTTTGTGCCCATCGTCTCCTTTTTGGCACCTGTGTCTCCAGGCTGTGTGGCTTTTGTCCCCAGACAGCTGACACCTGCTACCCTTGGGGTCTTCAGAGCCTCCTCCTGGAAGGCCTGATGTCCCCAGCGTGGCCCAGGCCCTCCTCCACGGTCAAACTCCCCACCGCAGACGGGACCCAGAGGAGGGAGCCCTGTGCTGCTGAAGCGGGGCTCCTGGGACGGGACGGGGTCTGGTGGGCCTGGGGGGCAGGCTGGAAACTGGATGGAGAAGTGTCCTCCTCTATCTGACAGCCACCTCCTCCGTTTTTACAAGAATGAGGAGACCTTCTGGGGCTGATACTCAATCAGTGCTGGGGTTCAGCGATTTTGTAAATGTGTGTGTGTGCATGTGTGCATGTCTCTGTGTGTGTGTCTGTGTGTATTTGTGTGTCTGTGTGTGTATCTGTATGTCTATGTGTGTATCTGTGTGTCTGTGTATGTGTGTCTGTCTGTCTGTGTGGGTGCGTATGTATAGTTGTGTGTGTATGTGTGTCTGTGTGTCTGTGTGTGTGTATCTGTGTCTCTGTGAAAGTGTATCTGTGTGTATACATGTGTGTGTCTCGTGTGTATGTATGTGTATATCTGTGTGTCTCTGCGTGTGTATTGTGTGTGTGTGTGTGTGTGTGTGTATGAATACGCTTAACTCTCCAATGAAGCGTGGTGTATCTGGGGCATCCCAGGTGGCGGGTGTCTTCTGGGCCCGCATCACCTCCCCAGGGCCCCCCTGTGGCTGCAGCGGTGTACAGGTGGATGGTGTACCTGGGCCTGTGGACTCCCTGCCTCAGGTGCCCACGGCTCCCTGGCTCTTTCAGCCTCTGCTGAAACCTCAGAACTCATTCAGCCCAGGAAAGGGAGACAGGCGTTCCAGCTTGGGGGCACCCCTCACTGGGGCGACGGGAGCAGGACCCGTGCCCCGGCCCCCTTCCTTCTGAGGGACGCCCTGGAGGGGCTCCGAGGGGGGGTCCAGCTCAAAGCATGCCATCACTGCCCCCACTCCTTCCTGCCACCCAGGGTCCCCTAGATGCACCACCTGCACCCCACCCCTGCCTCAGCCTCAGGTCGGTGACCCCAGACCCAGACGGGAGCGTGGGACTGGAAGGTGTGGATCTAAGCGGAGACCCACGCTTGCGAAAGCCAAAGGCTGTTTGCTCAGAGCTGGCTGGGCGGGGGGTCAGCCTCCGTCACGTGCCTGGCGGAGACCCAGAGGCAGGCAGAGGAGTGGGCAAGCTTCCCAGTGGAGAAGAGGGGGCTCAGGGGCCTCTGATGGGGGCTGGGGGGCTGCTGCAAGGGGTGTCCCAGGTGACTGGCCAGAGGCAGGCTGCGCCTCCTTGGGCTGGTCCTGAGTGGGGGGTGGGTCGGGCTGCTGGGGCCCCGTCGTGGGCTGTGCTCTCTGCCCGCGGTTCCACCGCCTCCTTGTGCTGGGACGGAGCTGGTCCCCAGCCCCTAGGCTGTGCTGGGACGGAGCTGGTCCTCAGCCCCTAGGCTATACTGGGACGGAGCTGGTCCCCAGCCCCTAGGCTGTGCTGGGACAGAGCTGGTCCCCAGCCCCTAGGCTGTGCTGGGACGGAGCTGGTCCCCAGCCTCTAGGCTGTGCTGGGACAGAGCTGGTCCCCAGCCCCTAGGCATCCCCCGACCACAGCTCTGCCTCTTGGCCTGCAGCTGGTCCTCACCTGGCTGCCGCCACTCCTGGGCTGGAGCTCCCCGAGCACAGACCCGCCGTGGGCCCCAGCGTCCCGCACGCCGCCCTCCGCGGGCACTGCCCAGACCCCAGGAGCCCCACAGTCGGGCCCTTTGACCGTCCACCCTGACCTGTCCCTCTGGGGGTCTCCAGTGCCTCCTCAGCCATCCTAGGTCACGGCTGGCTCTAAGGGGGACAGTGACAATATTCAGGTCCCTGTCCCCAGGGCACAGAGGGGATTCAAAGCGAGCTCACAGGAGGATGTGGTTATTGCACTCTCAGGAGAGGGGACCTGGGTCCCTGGCTGCAGAAGGACTGGCCAGCTCACCAGGCCCCTGAGGGCCACAGTCGTGCCAGGTCAGGGCCGCAGGGGGATCGGCTGCCCTTTGGGAGGTGGGCACACAGAGGTGGGGGACAGGACCGCTGTCGGGGTCTCGCATGACCTGACCTCCGCTGGTCCCCCGAAGCCCTGTGGGTTGTGCTGGGAGATGCGTCGGGCCCCGAGTCCTCGCACAGTCGCTGGTTTGCCCACTGGTGCCTGGCATGTCCCGCTTTCTAACACAGCGCCTTTTCCCCACAGTGTCGGAGCCCCAGGCTGCCCACAGTGCCCCGGAGAAGCCGGCCAGCACGGCGATCCTGTGTAACACCTGCGGGAACGTGTGCAGGGGGGAGGTGCTGCGGGTGCAGAGCAAGTACTTCCACATCCAGTGCTTCGTCTGCAAAGGTGAGCGTCGACCCACGTCCGCGATGGGGCCAGGCACAGCCCTGCCGTGTGGCCGAGCCCGCCTCCCAGCTGCCACGCTGGGCCCCAGAAACTCGTTAGATCTGGGATGCTGGAAAAACGGATCCCAAACCTTCACACAACAGCGTGATCTTTTCAGCGTGGCCCGTGTCCCCTGTGGGGGTGACGGGGGCATCTGCCCAAGGGGGAGGGCCAGAGGACGAGGTCCAGGTCCCGGGCAGTGTCCTCGGATGGCCGTAGCCACGTCCGTGATCCACTGGCCAGAGCAAAGTGGCCGCTTGGGCCCCGTCGCCACACGGTGAATGGCCGTCACTGGTGGCATGAACTCAGCACCTCAGGGTGCACAGGACCTAAGCTGGGCCACGAACCTCGGGCGCCCCTGCACCCTCCCAGAGCGAGACTGAAAACATTACTGCTCACTCCAAATGAACGCGGCTTTTTCTCCGATTATAAAAAATAACATGACTATCCCTAAATTCAGATAATACCAAAAAGATAAGAAAGTAAAACAAATCACTTGAAGTCCCTCTATCTGAGCCAGGCTTTGCTCGGGGCGTCCTTCCAGCCTAACCTTTCTCCCTACGCTCAAGTTACTACATATTCTGTCGTGCACAACGGGGTTTCGTGTGTTTGCATTTAGTTTCCTGAGAATAAATGAAAAGTAGCATTTTGGGGAAGGGATGGGCAGATCAAACCAATCTGACACAGTGTCCAAACCCAAAGAATTGGCAGTTTTAAAGAAAGAATTCTTTTAATGGCCCTGCAAACCCCTCCTTACCTCTGGACAGCAAGCGGTGTCGTCACAGCCTGCTTTCCTGCGGGTTTGAAACGACGTCCAGAGAGGCACAGACATTCGCATGTGGGCCTCGACGGGCCGCGGGGGCAGTGAGCCCCTGGGCTTTATGGGCAAAGATGGGAAATACGCCACGTGTAAGATAATCCAGCCATGTGGCTTTTATCAGCGCCACGGGGCCCGTTAACTGCCTGGGTCCCCTCAGCCCACCATAGTCTCAGGAGGCCCTACTGTGCACCAGGCCCGGCTTTGGAAACCGCTAAGTAGGAAGGCGTGGGATTTAGCTTTGACAGGTGAGGTCTGGTGAGGGGTTCAATCTCCCAGCTTGCCGGGAATAGTTGGGTGTTAGTGGTAGAAGCCACGTGCTGGGAAGGTGGCCCACCGGGAGGGAGCTGGGAACTTCCAGAGAAGGCTTCCCGGAGGAGGTGGCGTTTTGGCTCTAAGGTCAGCCAGAGAAAGAAGAGGAGAGCTGGGCCGTCGGAGGCGGCCAGGCCTGTGCCCGCGGTGCGGGGCGCAGTGTGGAAGGTGCAGCGGGGCCGAAGGAGGGGGACTGAACCTCAGGGGCTGCCAGGGAGCCTGCCGGTCCTGCCGAGGAGGCTTCCTTCTCTCACCTTCTCTCACCTCTGCTGAGCGCTTCCTGTGAGCTCAGTGCTTTCCGTGTGTTTTCTTCCAAAGTCCTCCAGTATTAGGGGGGCTGAGGCGTTGTCTCCAGTTAAAGATGAAGCAAAGGGTGACGTGTGACTCGCCTGGTTGACACCTGTGGGAGCAGCTGGCGAGAGCGGGGGGAGCCCTTCCCACGAGCCTCAGCTCTGCCCCAGACCCGGCATGGAGGGACGGGGTGCAGGGCCCCCAGCAGGGTCTGCGTCCCGGTGAGGAGGGGGCGGACACACGTCCACCCACCCACAGATTTGTTCTGTGCCAGGTGCCGCGTCAGCCTGCCGGCAGAGCGGGGGCCCCTGCCCTCAGTAGGTGGCATGTCTGCTTCACCTGCTGAAGGGTGACAGGGAGCATCTGAGTTTTCCTGCAAGCCTTTGAGAAGTTGTGTTTTGTGAAGCTTGAGGATTGCATAGTCTTAGATTGATCTTTTATCCAGGCTCTCATGAAGATGCAAAGTCTGTGAATCATTGAGGGTGCTCTTGGATGAACAAAAAAGAAGACCCAACTTACAGTGTCTTAAGTTACGTGGATATGTGCCATCTTAACAGGAATTCTGGAGGTAGCCTCCTCACCCCCAGAGCTGGTTAATTTAACAGCCCAAAAAAGTCATCAAAGACTAGGTTCTTTTTCCACTCCCCACCCCCAACTCCCCCCCCCCATCTTATACATGTCAGCAGTAACTCTCCTCATGGTCTCAAGATGGCTGCTGTAGCTCCAAACATCACATCCTCACAGGTGGACACTCAGCCCTGGGGAAGAAGTTGGGCAGGGGTGTGCACAGGCAAAGGGGCCCTCCCCCTGCATGATTACTCTGATTGGGTAATCAGGGTAATCTCCCTTCGATCAGGGAGGAGAACCTTTTCCCTGGAAGCCCACACAGGCTTCCTGTATGACTCGCTGGCTAGAACTAGGTCACACATCCACTCCACCGGCAAAGAGTAATGGGAGGATGGGGACTGACTGACTCCAGCCATGCTGTCCCTGGGTGGGTGTGTTGCCAGGCCAACCGAAACAGGGTCTGTTAGCCCAGAAGACAATTGTGTCTAATTCTGATCCAGGAGATCCTGATGTGTTGGGTTCCTGCCACCCAGGGACTGGCTTGATGTGCCTTGGTTTACATCTCAAAATCTGAAAGTTAAACCTGAAAATCTGTGAAAGAAATCACATAATTCTCCAGACCGTCTGGGCTGCCTCAGGCTTGGGCTTTGATGCCAGAAGGTCTGGGTTCAATTCCCACCTCTTCCACCCCCAGCTCATGTGGGTCTTAGACATGTTCCTTAGCCTCAGTTTCATTCGACAACCCGATTGGGCACATACTCCGTGCTGGGCAGTGTTCTGGGTGCCTGGGATGCATCCATGGACAAAACAGACATCCTTGTCCTTGTGGAGATCACATTCTAGGGCAGGGAGACAGACAATAAGCACTAGATAGAATAAACAAGCAAATTTCATCATATGCTGAAAGTGAAGTGCTAGGAAGGGGAAGACAAAGAGCAAGATAAAGACGGGGCTGGGAGTGCCGGGGAGTTACTATTTTAAATTGGGTAATCAGGGCAGGCTTCGTGGAGGAGGTGACCTTTGCTTGAAGACTTGAAGGAGGTGAGGGAAGAGCATTGCAGCCAGAGGGAACAGCCAGTGCAGTGACACTGAAGCAGGGAAGTGTGCCTGGCAGGTTCCAGGACAGCGCGAGGCCTGTGTGTCTGGAGTAGAGTGAGGAGGGGGAGTGGGGGAAGGCTGGGTGGAAGGGGGTCCTCGTGAGGACCTGGGCTGTGACACCGCGAGAGAAAGAACACAGGAGGATCCTGTCCATTTTAGTTTCATGGACCACTGGGTGCTGTGCTGATGAGGGGAGGCCAGGGCAGGGTGGGGAGAAGGGCCTGGGCCCCAGCCTGAGACCACGGCAGCTTGGACGAGCGTGTGAGGGGGCGTCTGCTTCTGGATTGTCTTGAAATCCAGCCAGCTCTAGTTTCACGATACAAAATGGGAATCTGTGTAAGATAGAAACATAGCAAGCATCCACACATAGCACATCCTCAAGAAAAAATGAAATGTCGCCACTGCTACAACTGAAATTCTCACAGGAAAACAAATCCGGTTCTCTTGACCTTTTACGTGTAGTGGAGTTCTGCGCTTTTAGAACTTTTGTGGCAGGGGGGCCGCACCACGCAGCATACAGGGTCTTAGTTCCCCGAGCAGGGATTGAACCGGCGCCCCCTGCCAGAAGGTCTGGGTTCTGGAAGCGCAGAGTCTTAACCGCTCGACCGCCAGGGAAGTCCCTAGAACATTTGTTTTCAACCAGGAGCTTTGGTAGCCCTGCTCGTGGTGCCTGGGAAACAAGGGCCCCGACTCTGAAATGATGAAAAGGTGAGGCCACAACCATGTGTGACCTCAGGAAAGCGGGCGTTTTCTGATCTGTGTGGCAGCAGGACTGAGCGCGCTCATGACTGCAGAATGAGTGAAGGAAACAGGAGGGAGGGAAGCCTCTGTGTGTGTGTGTGTGTGTGTGTGTGTGTGTGTTGGGGGAAGGGGCCACCAGCTCTGCCTGTAACTTTGTAACAGCAGGTGGGGTTGTCCACAAGGACACAGCCCCATGGGGACCATGAAGAGACACACCCAGAGCTGGTCTTAGCGACTGGGGGTGACAAGGGAATGGGGCAAAGGGATTGCGTTCCAGGGGCGTTTATGAGAACAGGCCCACATGGCAGAATTGTGGAAAGTCAAGGCAGGAAGCCATCTCTGGTGACGTGGGCCTGTTATTTTCAGATGGAGCATCTGAGGCAGAGGTTAGGTCAGGACCTGGGCTGGCAGTGACCACGCTGCCCTGAGCCAGCTCCCTCCAACTCACATGAACGCCCTGGGGTTCTCGGGCTGCTTTGTGTTTTAACATCAATCACTCTCTCCTCTTCCCAGACACCAGAACAAGAGCATCCCTGAGCTGACCACCCCAGGGGAATTGCCGTCCGTATTTGGGTAGAGAGCCTTCCAATCTTCTCCTTTGTAAGAGTCTTTTCGATCTGAAGTCCTGTTGTATATTTACTTCTGTGTCCCGATGTATTCTCTTTAAGGGACTGTGTAAGCCCTTTCCCCATCATACATCCTTCAACATCAATTTCAGTATATACCCAGATTCCTTCAGATGCCTGGCCTGCAGCAGACTTAGCCGTTCCTCAGCTCTTAAACGTTCACATCGATTCCAGCCCGGCACTGGGCTAGTCAGCTTCCTATGCCTCATCCCGTGAGTGTTACAGATGAGGACTCTGAGATTCAGAGAGGTTAAGTAACTTGCCCCAGGTCACACAGCCAGGAAGCAACAGGAGGAAGCATTCATGCCCGGGCTGCCTGTCCCTAAAGCCCAGCGTTTATTTCCTACATTATACTGTAGTGATGCTGCAGCCAACACCATGCAAGAACGCTTCTGTGGACGTTCACGGTCAGTTCCTTGGGATAGAGTCCCAGAGAGAGACGACTGGGTCAAAGGGTAGGAGCGGTTTTCACATTCCTTTGAGTCGATGCCAAAGGGTGTTCCAGAAAGTGGTGCAGACTGTCTTCCCACCATGGCCCGCCCCCTCCTGACCGTTTCTCAGAAGTGACCACAGTGACCGCCAAAGATGGGGGGCGGGCTGCTCCGGGTCACCCACAGCTGCTTGTGCCCTTCACTGGGTCTCGGCCACTTGGATAGACAGATGGAATGTGAGGAGAATATATTGTCTTGATTAGGACGTTCAAAATTATTAACGGATTTGGACTCTTGATTTTTAGCAGGCAGAGGTCTGGGTTTACCGTCTGGCCCCGACCTTAGTGGACCCAGCCAGCTACAATCCGGTCAGTAGCAGAGATGACCGGGGCCGGGCAGGGAGGACGTAGCATTGGCCGGGCCCGGCTCTCGGGGCAGGAAAGCGGCTTTAATTCAGTCTCCTGGTGCCTCCGTGATGTAGATGCAGGTTATAGTGGGGCGCTAGATCCCTCTTCACATTCTTCTCCTTCGAAGAACAGTCAATACGGTCATATCTTTAGGAAGATTAGAAAATGAGCCCTGGAGCTCGCACGCCACTAGAGAGAAGCCCGCGCACCTCAACGAAGATCCTGTGTGCCGCAGCTAAGACCCGACACCGCCAAAAGTAAATAAAATAAATAAATAATAAATCTTTAAAAAAAGAAAAGAAAAAAAATGAGCCTAGTACCAGAGCCAAGGGTGTCCGTGAACCAGCCCGTCACTCAAGGGCTGAATTGTTACAGGCAGCGTTTACTGAAAAGTCACTAATTCTCCTACGGAGGCCTCAGGGAGCCTGTGCTTCCCGAGTCGGGGTACATCTGCTTGGCCTACGCTGTGGTGCAAGATTTTCTTTCTTTAAATAAATGTATTTATTTTGGCTGCGTTGGGTCTTTGTTGCTGCGCGCAGGCTTTCTCTAGTTGTGGTGAGCGGGGACTACTCTTCGTTGCGGTGCGCAGGCTTCTCATTGCGGTGGCTTCTCTTGTTGTGGAGCCCGGGCTCTAGGCGCACGGGCTTCAGTAGTTGTGGCTCACGGGATCTAGAGCGCAGGCTCAGTATTTGTGGTGCATGGGCTTCAGTAGTTGTAGCACGCGGGCTTCAGAAGTTGTCGCTCGCGGGCTCTAGAGCGCAGGCTCAGTAGTTGTGGCGCACGGGCTTAGTTGCTCCGTGGCATGTGGGATCTTCCCGGATCAGGGCTCGAACCCGTGTCCCCTGCATTGGCAGGCGGATTCTTAACCACTGCGCCACCAGGGAAGCCCTGTGGTGCAAGATTGAATGAAGGGTTTTCACCCTCGGGCTGGGTGAGAGAAGGATTTAGAGCTGGGCACCGGCCTCGGGCCTCCTGGGGTGAGTGACGTCAGTAAAACGATGACCTGGATGGTGGCCCCGCACGACTTGGGGCTTACGTCACGCTAGCATAAGATGTGCCTCTGTGCTGCCCTTCTCACCTCTGAGTAGGCCCAGATGAGGACTTGGGGGCCCAGAGAGGTCAGGGCCTTGCCCAGGGGCACACAGCGCAGTGCACGAGTGGAGCCTGCATCCCCCGGGCAGCCCTGGAGTCTGGGCTTTCAGCTGCTCAGCCTTATGTCCAAAGAGCCAACAGCTCCTTGACGATGTGGAAGGAAGGATTTCCAGCCACTCTGGTGGCTGTAACCGGGTAACAGCGCGTGCAGCCCTGTGGCCCAGGTGAGGGGACAGGGACACCCGGGAGAGGCCCGCCACCTCGCCCTGTGTAGGGGTGGGAGCTGAGCTGAGTGGGTCCCACCTGGCAGAGCCACCCGGAGCCCCCAGGTCCTGGGTCGTGTGCACTGACCGGTGCACGAGCTGAAAGGGCGCTGCTGACCAGACCAAGCAGACCTGAGCCCCGGGGACCCCAAGACCCTTGGAGATTCAGACTCCCACGCTTGCTCTTCCCAAACTGACCAGCCTGAGAAGCCACCTGCAGTGGAGGAAGGCTGCTCGGCTGCCCTCGCCTTCCAATCCCCCAGGGCGCCAAACAAGGTGGAGTTTAAAAGTCGGGGCTCCCTTGATCAGACACCAGGAACTCCCCTCGACCACCACCATCCGTGTCGTCAAGAGCTGCACTGTGAAAAGCTTGTCCTCTATCCACGTAATAATAATTTACCAAAATGTACAACATATGTGTTGTTTTGATAGCTATATACTAGTAGCAGTCATCACAACACTACCCAGAATAAGCTATTAAATATTTAGAGCCTGGTGGCCATAAGAAATTCCTAATAAATCAATTTCCACGTAGACGGAGGGATTTTTGTTGCAGAGAGCCATAGGCGCCTTCCATCTCTGAAACACGTCACATGTGCACGCAGTTCTGTGGGGGAAGAGATGGCAACAGGCTTTCCTAGCAAACGAGGAACGAGGTGAAATGCTTGCTTTTACTCAGAGCCTGTCTCTGGGTTTTGTAAACAGAGGTCGGTGGTCTTGCTTTGGCGTCTACGATCTACTAGTTAAATTTAAAGATGCCAGTCCTTACAGTTCACCAGAAACTACAGCCTCTGCAATCGGTTAAAGTTTTGATGAAAATTTTTAGGCGTTGATTCAAAGATGGGCTACATGGTATTTCAAGGCTCTGGCTAGGGGGCTGCGACCCACAAAGACCCCGCCCTGACGGGCTGGCAGGCTGGGCCTCCCCAGGGAGGGCGCGAAGGCTGCTCCCTCTGGAGCCAAGCCGGGTTCCCGTGTGCCCTGGGGCCTGTCCTGAGGGCAGGCACTCCATCCTCCGCCTGGCAACGTCCCCCTGGTCCTCCCTGGGGCAGGAGGTATATTAGGGGTCAGTGCGAGTGTGCCCGGCCTCTCTCCCTTTTGCAGGGGGTCTGGCCTCGTCCATGTTGGGGGAGACGGGTGGAGGGGGGTCAGGAAGCCTCACTGTGGTCAGGGGATCCTCCCCCCCAGAACAGGGCCCAGCACGCGGTAGGTGCTCAGGTGTGAACCGCCTCCCCATCTGTTATTTTCCTGCTGGGAACAGCCCACCTGGAGGAGCAGGGGTTGGGGGGGGCTCATGGGGCATCAGCACTGCGTCCCTGGTGGGCTCAGGAGGCGAGGAGGCGCTGGGCTGGCCCCTCAGCACAGCCTGCTTCTCTTCCCGGGTCCGTGCACCTTTCTAGAAGCTTCCACAAGAAAAGCCACTCGTCTCCAGGCTGAGGGGCCGGAGCTGGAGTCTGTGCTTAGGGCCTGGCCCCCCGAGGGTTCAGCAAGCCACCCTGAGTTCGCACCGAAGCCTGTGTGTAGTGAGGGATACGCATGGAGCCCGTCGGGACTGGGGAGCTGGTGGTCACCTGCTACCTCGGCCCCTCCCGTGTGTCCCCAGAATGCGGCTGTGACCTGGCCGAGGGCGGCTTCTTCGTGCGGCAGGGCGAGTACATCTGCACCCAGGACTACCAGAGACTGTACGGGACCCGCTGCTTCAGCTGCGATCAGTTCATCGAGGGTGAGGTGGTGTCGGCGCTGGGCAAGACCTACCACCCAAACTGCTTCGTGTGTGCTGTCTGCCGGTGAGTGTGGGACCTGCAACCGCTCCTCCCCAGCCCTCCCTCCTCCCTCCTCCCTCCCCTCCCTCCTCCCTACCCCTCCCTCCCTCCCTCCTCTCTCCCTCCTCCTCCCTCCCCCTCCCTCCTCCCTCCTCCCTCCTCCCTCCTCCCTCCTCCCTCCTCCTCCCTCCTCCCTCCCTTCCTCCTCCCTCCCTCCCTCCTTCCCTCCCTCCCATTGTCTCATATGGCCGGGAGGGAGGCGGGACCCAGCCAAGGGATGGCAGGTGGACCCTGGCCCTGCTCTGAGGCACACCTTCATCCAGCCACACACCTTGCAGGCCCCCACCCCATGCCCGCAGCACAGGATCAAGCCCTCTTTCCGGGATGCAGAGGCCCGTGGGTTCTGAGACCGCCAGCACGAGGCCTCTGATGGCTTCTGGGGAGGTGCTCGCCCACCGCCTGTGCCCTCTCGGCCCCGCCCACCAGCCCCTCTCCTGTCCGCAGCCTCCACCTCGTCTCCTCTCACGTCGGTGCCTGCAGTGTCCACGCTTTGGCCTCCCCGTGCCCACCCACTGCCGCTCCCCTCTCCTCCACCATCCTGGCACATCCCACCTGCACACCCCGCCTCTCTGTACCCAAGTCCCTGATCTGTAGGTGGCACAGGCGCCCAACCCACCAGGCACACGAGCCCCAAGCGTGGGCATCTTCCCAGGTCCCCCTCATGAACTTCCGAAATCGGTCCAGCCACTGCCTTACTCAGACCCAGAACTCACCTCCCTGGAGTCCTGCCAAGGCCTCCACACTGGGGTCCCTGTTTTCCCTCTGCCTGTCACTCCTCCGCCCCACCCCCATGGCCTCCACGAGAAAGTCTGAGCCTCCCAGCCTGGCTGCGAGGAGCTTCACAGTCTGTTCCAGTCCCTTCATTCCTTTATTCATTCGTCCAGGCTTTTCTAGATGCCTACGTGGGCCAGGCCCCAGGCTGGCTCTGGTGACTTGGAGCTGCGTTAGCCCAGACCCTACGGGCACAGCATCTGGGGACACAGCAGTGCAGCAAGAGCTGCCTGCCCCCAGCCTCCCTCCGGGAAAGCAGTCCCCTCCCTCTCCCTCCTTGCGGCTCCCCTGCATCCTGGGCCCTACAACCCTTCTGTGGCACCGTGTCCCAGAGCTGCTTGACAGCAGCACCACGTGGGCAGGGACTGGATTTGACTCCTCCGGCGCCTGCCGCCTGCCACGGAGCAGGTGTCCAGCGAATGGCCGCTAGAGACAGAATGAGGTCCTCAGCAAGGTCCCGGCAGCAAGGCTGCACCTGCTCCCCTCTCTGCCCTGCACCTCTGGGGCTTGGGGGCAGCAGCAGGCAGCCCTCCCACATGGGCATCCTGCCTCCCCCCTCCCCCCCTCCCTCCCTCCCTCCCTCCCACCCACCACAGCCCCAGACACATTGCTCCCAGGGGGAATGTTCTGTCTAGAAAACAAAGAATGAACCCCCCAGAGTTTATTCTCTGTTCTCTCTGTCTCACCACACCCAGTTGAAAGGGGACTTGTCGAGTGTTGTTACCGCTGTTTTCTGTAGTTGTGGCACGTGCTCTAGGCGGAAAGGGAAGCTTTTGTTGGGGGTGGGCGTGGGAGGAGGTGCTGGGCCAGGAAGGAGCAATGACAAGGGACATTTCTAACGGAAGAGTCACCGTGTGTCACTGCAGCGTGCGTGGGTCAAGGTTCCCCCAAGGATAATCTGCATGTTTGATTTCTGTGCACGTAGCTTAGAGACAAGGGGTGACATAATCACAGTGGGTTTGAAAGATCACCTCTGTAATCCGATATTTTAAAAATAATATCTGACAGCCCTGTCGTGCTGGAGTCACTGGGCCTGGACTTACCCACCCACTATAAAAAACTAGAAGACTGGAAAAAATATACAAAACAACTGTTTTGGGATACTGGGGTACAGGCAGCTCAGGACTAACAGAGGGAAGACGAAAGAAGGGACCCCTGTGACCACCCAGCTTTCTGCCTGGAGGCTGTTTCTTGAACCAGAGGACAAGAAGGGAACCAGGTAGGGCATGGCATCCTCCCCAAGTTAAGAGACAGTGATGTGAGAGGCAGAACAGCATAGCAGAAGGGAGAGAGCTATGCAGAACGAGACCTCAGGAGAGTTGCATGGAGGTGCCTTTGACTCTTGGACTAAATATGAAGCCATGTAGACGGAGAGGAGATTTCACAAGGTTGGGCAAAAAATGACCTGGTTGCTGTAAGCTAAACACTCCCAGGGGACTTTCGAGTTCTGGCCGGGTGGGGATTCCTTGTGGAACACCCAGGCGTGCAGTGGGACACCAGAAGCATCATGCCTTATTAGCGGAACTGAAATCGCCCTAGCGTGAAGGCGTGAACCTGCTCGAAGTTCAAGAACACGCCTCAAAGAGATCACGCTGGTCTGCAAGTGAGCTGCCTGCCTGCCAAAGTAAAGTGTAACACTCTTTGTAGAAAGAGAAGAAAACCCAGCCCTCAACAACATAAAATCGACAATGTCCAACACCCATCAAATGTGACCGGTCATAAGAAGAAGCTGGAAAACGTGACCCAGGGCCAGAAGAAAAATCAGTCAGTAGCAACAGACCCAGAAATGAGATCAATGGTGAAACTAGCAGACGATGACTTTAAAACAGCCGATGTAAATATATTTAAGTATTCAGAGGAAAGCATGAACATAAGTAGGAGTGTTATAGAAGACATGGAAAGAAACCAAATGGAAATTATAGAAATGAAAATGGAAATTTCTGAAATAAAAAACTCCCTGAGGGCTTCCCTGGTGGCGCAGTGGTTGACAGACCGCCTGCCGATGCAGGGGACACGGGTTCGTGCCCCGGTCCGGGAAGATCCCACATGCCGCGGAGCGGCTGGGCCCGTGAGCCATGGCCGCTGAGCCTGCGCGTCCGGAGCCTGTGCTCCGCAACGGGAGAGGCCACAACAGTGAGAGGCCCGTGTACCACACACACAAAAAAAAAGACATCAAGAAAATGAAAAAGCAAGCCATCAGCTTAATAGAAGATACATATCTGGTGAAACACAGTTATCTACAATATATAAAGAACTTCTACAACTCAATAATAAGACCAAAAACACTATTAAAAATGAGCAAAGGAGTTTAGCAGATACTTCACAAAAATGTATGTAAATGACCAATAAACAAATGAAATGATTACATTAACATCACTAGTCATCAGGGGAATTCCAATTAAAACTCGTTGAAATACCATCCAATGTCCTCTAGAATGACTCACAGTAAGAAGATGGAAAGTGTCAAGTGTTGGTGAGGATACAGAGTGAAAGGAGCTGTCACAGGTCTCTGGTGGGAAGGCAAAGTGGTGCAACCTCTACAGAAAGCAGTTTGGCAGTGTCTTGTGAAGTTAGGCACACAGTTAGCACGTGGCCCGGCAATTCCGCTCCTAGGTATTTACCCAGGAGAAACAAAAGCACACGTCCACACAGACTTGTCAGCAAACGTTCTTAGCAGCTTTATTTGTAACAGTCCCAAACTGGAAAGAATCCAAATGTCCTTGGACATGAACAGTTCATCCGTGCAAAGGAGCAGCATTTGATAATCAAAAAGAACACACCAGTGGTGTGTGCAGCCGTGTGAGTGAATCTCAAAAACACGCAGCAGAACAAGACATCAAAGACTGCGTACCGTGTGATTCCATTTATAGGCAGTTCCAGAAGATCAAGTCTGATCCATGGCACAGAACGCCCATCATAGCCACCTGGGGCCGGGGTGGGGGGATGAGTGTGGACGGTCACAGCAGGCTTTTTACAGTGGACAGAAATGTCCCATACCATGACTGTGGTCCTGGTTACATGAGTGTGTACATTTGTCAACATATACTTCAATGAAGTTGAATTAATAAAATAATAGCTACCATTCATTCAGCCCCTCCTGGGTCCCAGGCATAATACTAGAGCTTTCCACGCTATAGGTCAGATGCATGGATGGATGAATAACAGCCTGAGACACAGATGTCCTTAGTCCTGTTTTACAAGTGAGAAGCAGGAACTCGGAGAGGTTAAGCAGCTTGCTCTGGGTCACACAGCCAGAGATTCTCTCCGAGCGCATCCAGGGATGGCAAGGGACTCCCGCTGTGGCCCAAGACCCCCCATTACCAAGGCAGCTGCAAGACAGCAGGCGGGAGAGAGGTAGACCCCAGCACTAACCACGCGGGATGCAGCGCACGGCGTCAGATAGCTGCCTGGGCAGCTGAAGGACAGAGAGCGGCAGGACCATCTCGCAAGTCTTGGGACGGGGTTCAGCTCAGCTTCTATAGGTCCTTGCTCCCTAAGAGCTGAGACTGGCTGGCTGGGGCCCTGCTGAATCTGCCTAGGGCCCTGAACGCCAGCCGCACAAAGTGGGGGGCTTTGGCGGGGCTTTTTCACGGGAAGGCTTGGTAGCCTCATGGGTCAGAAAGCTCTTCTGGTCGCAGAGTCGGGGCCGGACTGGAGCCGGTGTGACCCAGGCAGGCTCCGAGAGGAGGCCCTGCAGGGGAAGGCGGCTGAGCTAGGCCTCCAGGGGGACCTTCGGTTATTGACGTGTTCATGTACTTGCTCATTCTTTCACTGACGGTGACCTGTCGAGCACCTGGCTGTGCCTGGCCTTGTCCAGTCCCGAAGGAGGCAGGGGGGACACAACGAAGGCTTAAGCCAGAGGACGGGGCGTGCCCTGGTCCAGATAATTCAGAGACTGCCGCCCGCAGGGCTCAGGTTCTCTTGCCAGGCTGAACTGGGGGAGGAGGTGGCCCAGTGGCAGGAGGTGGCCTGACCCTAGCTCACCAGAGGCAGGCACCCGATCCACCTCTGTCACCAGAGGGGAAGTTCCGGGGCTGAAGCAGCTGGGCCGGCTCTGCTGCCCCCACCGGCCTCGCTTGGGCAGCCCAGGGCCGTAAGTTCCCCTTGGCCCAGGGCTGGGACTAGGGTGCGGCCAGTGGGTTACTCGCTTTGGATGCAGAGTTTAAGGGGAGGCCAAAAAAAGTGATCAAGGTAAATGATATTTTAATGTGATACTTTAGAAATTGGAATTAATGCAAAAAACAAATCCATGGTGAAAAAAATGCCAGACTTTAAGGACGGAATCCAGCATACAGTCTTGCATGCTCCTAGCGGCACTGCTTTCTGAGAGACCCAGGGAGGCAAATCACGGCGCTTTGGAGCCAGACAGGTCTTGGTTTGAGTCTGGTTCTGACGGGCAGCAGCCGTGTGGCCTTGGAAAAGTCAACTATCCTCTCTGAACTTCAATTTTCTCACCCATCGAGAAAAACGAAGCAAAGACCAACCTGGGCAAGCATCTTAATGGTGATAGATGAGGCAGGCATTAAGGAATCTGTCATAGAACCTGGCCTGGCACCTAGTAGATGCTCAGTAAATGGTGCTGTTGCCATGAGTATTGAACTGACAAAGCATGCTGGGCGGTCAGAGGAGGCAGGGTTGGATGGAGGAGGCCAATGGCTGAGACTGCCCAGTTGATCGCCACGTGCAAGCACTGGCCGGCCCCCACTGCTCTGGCCCACTGCACCACGATTCTACCTGCCGGTGCCGATGAGGAAACTAAGGCTAAGATGGCCCAGCGGCAGCGCCTGCACGCAGACACCCAGCGTCCTGGGCCTGTGGTCCCCGGGGAGGTGACGGTGTGGTGTCTAGGATGGGGCTCCCCCCACCCAGGAGAAGAGCCAGGAGGTGGTCCTGGCTGGTAATGCGCTGTCTTATTTCAGGTTGCCCTTCCCGCCCGGGGACCGAGTGACCTTCAACGGCAAGGAATGCATGTGCCAGAAGTGCTCCCTGCCCACCTCAGCGGGCAGCAGCGTGCCCCTGTCCCAGGGCCTCTGGAGTAAGTGGACGCAGAGCGGCGTGGCGGAGGGGGCTTGACAGTGCTGGGTGGCGGGCCTGACACCACTGGGACCAGAAGTAGTGGAAGCGAATAACTGTGGATGAACACAACGAAGGGAGCCAGGGCCAGGCGTCTCTGGGGTACTCCTGCCTCTAAGCCTTTGCTCAGCCTGTGCCCTCCCCACTTTGTGCCACTCCATCTTTCAGCCCGGCTCTAGCCCACCTCCTCCAGGAAGCCTTCTGGCCTCCTTCTGGCCTTCTCCCTCCAGCACCCACACTCAGCTCCCCACAGTTATTTCCAGAGCATCCGGGAGCCCTTCAGGAGAGCCACTAGGAGAACAGTGACCTCTGGGCTCCTGTGGTCTGGGGCTCTTGGATTACCTGTTCCGTCCCCTGGGAGCTGGGCCAGGGTGCGTATGCAGTGGGTGCTCAATACATGCTTCTTGAATGAAGAAGGGGGTTGTTAGTGAAAACGAACCAGTAGCAGGGGCATGTCAGGAGCTTGTGGATGTGGGGCAGAGAGCGAGGTGGGAGCAGAAAGGCGCTGGCCTTTCCCTGTGGGTGGCTCTTCCAGGACCAGAGATGGGACACAGGGACGGGGAGGGAGCCCAGCGCCCCAGGACTGCTCCCACCAGGCTCCCACTGCAGAAACGGGGTGTTCAGAGCCCATCCTGTGTGCAAGGTGGCTGTGGTGTCCCAGTGCCAGAGCCACGTGTCCTGGGACAGAGGAGGGGTTTGTATTGACTTCCAGAGCCAGCCCCTGGCTCTCCTCACTCTCCTGTCCTCTCCCGCTTCCTTGTCCGCGACACTGAAAGTCTGTACAGAGGAGACTGCACATCCTCCCAGGAGCCGAGTGTTGGCTTCAGGGACTGGTAACAATTTTATCTGGGAAATGAGGCGAAGCCTTCATCCCTTGGGGAGGCAAGCTCACGGCAGTCACAGTTGGTGAGGCTGTTGCTTTGAGGTCTGCTAGGAGAGTTCTCCATTCAAAACTTTCTCTCCAGCTGAGGTCTGGATTGATTAAATTTTTGAGAATTTGCTTCAACAGACAGCCCTATTATCATTAAGCCTGAAATAGTAATCAAAAACTACAGCAAAATTTGAAAAGGCAGGGGTTAGTTTGAAGAGTTTGTCCAGAGCTTCCTGGCAGCCAAAGTAAAAAGGGAAATATGCCCAATCACAGACTCATTGTCTGAGACTTTTTTGAGATTTTTTTAAATGTCATGGGCAGAAAGGCTGCCCTCTCCAAATGGAAATTTATTTTAAAATATCAAATTTGTGTTTTCAAAGAACAGACACTGCCCTCACCCCCAGATGGGTCTGTAACCCACCCCTTCTATAACCTATCCCTTCTCGCAGTCCATGGTGATAATCCCCAGCTTAGAACCGTTTTTGTGCCTGGAAGGCATTAAACATTCATCACCAGTTCTTGGCTTCTGTGTGGATGTCTGCATTGTCTTCCCAGCTCCCACCTCCTTTTGTCCCCAGAGCAGCCTGGCCAGGCAGGAGTCCCTCCCTCCTTCTGCAGGAGCATAAGTGCCCTGAGCCTGGTGGAGAGCAGCAGAAGTGCTGGGTGCCCAGTGTCCAGCTAGGGAGGGGTGGGGCTGAGGTTTGAGCCAAGGCCTTTAAAGTCCAAAGCAGGGGAGCCCGCCCTGCTGTGACCAGAGGCTTTCTGAAGAGGTGGCCTTTGTTCTGAAACCTAAAACACAGGTTTTCGTTAAGTAGGCATTGAGGGAAGGGCACTGCATGAGCTGGGCCCAACTGCCACCCCCATGTGAGTGGACAAGGGGGGTGCTGTGTGGGAGCAGGGAATGGAAGTGAAGAAATCAGGCGGCAAAGCCATGCCAGGGAGCTCCAGCTGCATCTTGGAGGCAACGAGGAGCCATAGATGGCTGTTGAGGGAGGTAGTGCCGGGGTGGGTTGGGAGCATGCTAGGAATGTGAGCCTGTGCAGCGTGGTCTGCCCTGCAGGTGGTGGCAGCTGGGGGAGGGACGCGGCCCTTCCTGCATAGGGTGGAAAGCTGCAGATGGCCACCTTTGGGGGCCGCCTTCCCTGGGGGAAGCGGAGAGTGGCCAGCTGCTCCCGTGGAAGTCAGGCTTGGTCCCAGGGACCTGAGCTTCCCTCTTCCGCTCATTGGCCTGAGCCTGTTGCTTAGTAACAGGATCAGCGCTTCTTGCTGGATGCCCACGCCTTCCCTGGGGAGGGGTGCACCGCTCCTTCTGGGTGGCCAGCTCCTCCACCGCACCTGAGCTTTCCATGCTGCTTCTGCCCTGGACTGCCTCCCCGACTGCCGTGGGGGGAGGGTCTCCTCCCGGAGAGCCCACTGGGCGCCCATCCAGGCTCCCCTTTTCCAGGCTCCTCCCGTACTCTCCAGCTCTGAACCGGTTGCTGGTTGGAGCCGGTCACAGGGCAGCCCTCAGAGAGGCCCAGCGCCACTCCAATCAGGGCGCAGCTCTGAGCCCGGCTGTGAGGAATAGACCCCGCCACTCACCACCTGGGTGCCCTGGGCACGCTGTGTCCCCTCTCCGGGCCTTGGGAGTGGATGTGGGGTCAGCAGTGGGTGTGGGCAGTGGCCCGGAGGGGCAGCCTGGTGTGGCAGCAGCCAGGATCTGGGAATGTGGGACCTTGGACCAGGGCAGCCCTGTCCAAGCTGAGGAGCCCCCGTGACCCGTTCTTGGGCTCGACTCCACCTGCTGGGGCCCAGCCCAGACAGGACGGGGTCACACGCGGAACCTGGGATCACACTCGGAGCCAGGATCAGGAGGCCCACCGAAGTCAGGAGGGAAGGGGCAGGGCCCTGGCATCCAAGGCTTCTGCTGGCTGTGTGCCCGTGAGGGGCCATCCTGTGGGTGGGGCGGGTCCTCAGGCCTTCGGACGTGCATCCACCTGGGCTGTGGCCCGTGGAGCCTCTGTGTCTTCCGCCCACGTGGGGTTGCACTGTCCACGTGATCAGGGGTGGGTGACGGGCTCAGAGCCCCGGTCCCCCCTCTGGAAATGGGGTGAGCCTTTCTTGTGTCAAGGCTGGTTCTAGAAGGGTCATGCTGGGGAAGGGGCCCAGGCCATCCTGTGGCTGTGATGGCAGAGCCAGGCCCAGGGTGCGAGGGTGAGTGGATGGCAGGCTTTGGCCCTTCCAGGCCAAAGTGTGCCCTGCTCCTGCCCCCGGGCAGTGGGGACACACTCCCTCAAGGACGTCTGCGCAGTGACAGCTGTCGTCGAGTGGATTCATCACAGAAGATTCACCTGTCACTTGCAAAGCCCTGCGAAGCTATGCTGAGCTCCAGATGTGTTTAGTAAATGATGATTGCCGTTTCCATGACAACAGTCCTCGCACCTGGCCCTGGCCTCCACGTTCACGGCTCACTATTAGTGAGGCTCTACCCCGAGTCTACGGGGACAAGGAGGCGGTGTGGAGGTGCGGAGCACGTCCCCCCTCGGCGGCAGGTGGCACGTTTGCCCGGAGCCTCGGACCCTGCCCTGGGGGAGGGCACACTGCTGATCCAGGAAGAGGCAGAGCGGGGGGCTTCCCGCAGGGAATCGGCCCCTCACGAGGTGTCCCCCTCGAGACGACAGCAGTAACAGTTCGAGCGTTCAGCTCACGTGCGCTTATTCATTCCTCAAACACATCCTTCACACCACACGCCTGTCTCTGTTAGCTCATGACAGCTGCGTGAGGCTGGTCCTGTTACTACCCCCATAAAATGCGTCCCTGTCTTAGTGGGCACAGAGACGTAAAGTGACTCGGTCACTGTCACACAGCTGGCGGGGACAGCCTGGCTTCCAGCCACTGCCGTGCCCTGCCTCCCCCTAGGCCCAGCGTGGTCCGGGCTGCTCCTTGGCTTTGCCCGTCTGCGAAGACCTGGGCCGAGGCTCCGAGCAGGCTTTCTCGACTTCAGCACTGTTGACATTTGGGGCCTGACGATTCTTTGTGGTGGGGGCCGACCTGTGCCCTGGAGGGTTTTGAGCAGCGTTCCTGGCCTCCGGGCCCCTGGGGCACGACCCCCACCTTCCACGCCCAGTTGGAAGGACTAGAATTGTGCCCAGACACAGCCCAAAGCCCCCAGCAGCAAAATGGCCCTGGTCAAGAGGCGCTGGCACAGAGCGTACCGTGTGTGCCCGCGGTCACCCGCTAGGTGCACGGATCCAGCGCTGGAGGGCGGTGTCGGCCCTGCTCTGCTGGGGACAGACTGAGGGGGCGGGAGGGGAGGGGTCTTGATGCCTCCTGAACTTGAGGAGGGAGCTTCCTCTTGGCTCCGATGCAGTCAGGCGTTCGTTCACTGAGCTCTTCTCTGCCGCCAGCCTGGCTGGGCTCCATGATCCTGAGATGGCTGGGAGGTCCCCTCTTCCCTCCCAGCCCTGGACCTTGGGGTTTGAGCCTGTTCTTCGGGTCTCTTCCAAAGTTGCCAGTGGATTTGATGGTGTGGTAAATTAAGAAATCTAGAGTTTGACCAACAGTTCTGTAGATATTAAATATTTTTTATTCTTAAAGATGACGTGATGCTGGGCTCTGCCCAGAAGGAGAGCAAATCCCTGTCAGAGCAGAGTCTGGCGAGCCCGCCGTGCGTCGGGCGTGTCCCGGCAGCATCAGCACCTAGACGTGCGGGCTCTGCTGTCTTCATGTGAGATCCGTCACTGAATGTGACTGCCCCGCCCCACCCCCCGGCTGGAAACAGGGCTCCACACGGAGAGGAAAGAGCCTTGTCCAGTGTGACCCCGAGGAGTAGGGCCAGGATTGGAGCCAGGCTGCTGGACCTTGGGCCCCATTCTTTCATCTAGGGTTGGGGGGGTCCCTGCCTGGCTGAGCCCAGGAAATGCTGAGTCCCTCAGGGCACCCCCTGCTCGCCTCTGCTCATCAGGGCCCTTTGGGGTCCCCAAGGCCCCACCCTTGTCATGTCCCCGACACACACAGATATACATGGAAATACTAGACACACACACACATAGAGACACACACATGCAGCCACACACAGACAGACACACGCAGAGACGGATAGACCTACATACAGACATATACACATTTATGCACAGACACAGACACACTTACACACACACACAGACTCACGCAGGGACACACACTCACACAGACACATACACTCATGCATACACACAACACACACAGGCACTAACACACGCATACATAGATACACCCCTGCACACACACCCCTGCACACAGTCATATACAGATATACCTGTCTGCACACAGACATGTCACACAAAGATACAAGTGCACGTAATCAGACACAATACATGCACATAAGACACACGTGTACGTACTCGATACAGATACGTGCACACACACGCACGCCCCAGGCAGGTCATGCTGCCTGTCTCTGCCCCTGACGTTGCCCGGCCTGCTCCACCCCCTGGTCCTTCAGCACACGTGGCACTGACTGTGGGAGCCCCCGGTGTGGCTGCCCATGGCTGGAGGGGTCGGGAGGCAGCAGGGCCGTGTACTGAGCACCCGAGACCCTGGGGGGGGCTTGATCAGGGACGGGCATGGCTGGAGGGGCAGCGGGGAGACCAGGCTGGGGGCCATGGGAGGGAGAGCCCCCGTCACCGGGGGTGTAGGCGCTTCCTGGGGCCTGGCTGCGACCCGGGCTGAGGCCGGGAGCACAGGCGCAGGTGGCCAATGTCCTATGTCCGGGATGTGGCACGGCTGGCCACAGAAGGAGCTCAGAAGCCGGGGCCGGAGGGCTTCCTGGGAGGGGCACCCCGGCAGGCGAGCGCTCAGAGGACAGGCATCGGGGCTCCAACCTCTCTAAAGCGGCACCTTTCCTGGTGGGGGGGCACAATTAGGTCCAAAGTCCACCTGCCAACAGAGCAGGACAGGCGAGGCCACCCAGAGCTCCTGCCATCATGGCACCCTGCTGCCCGGGCCATGCTTGGGGCAGTGCCCACTGCAGGGTGCCCCTGTGCAAGTCCCCATCTGCTTCCGCAGGCCTGGACGCCCATCTCTGGAAGGTGGGGCCTCTGTCTAGTTCATCCTGGTATCCCAGGCGCGCGGCCCAGGCTGCACGCAGTCGGCACTCGACGCGCGCTCACGCTGGCCGTCGTGTAACGGCCGCGGCTGGACGGTTCCGTCTGTCCCGTCCCCAGGCCCGCTCTCACTGCCCCTGGGGTGTCTGAAGTCCCAGCGGTGCAGGGCCGCCACCCTGCACCTCTCGCCCACACCCACGAGGATGACGGCTGTGCTCCGTTCTTTCTTCCAGGTTGCAAGGGCTGCGGAGTGGAGATCAAAAACGGCCAGTCCCTGGTGGCCCTGGAGAAACACTGGCATCTGGGCTGTTTCAAGTGCAAGACGTGCGGGAAACAACTGAACGCGGAGTATATCAGCAAGTGAGTGGGCGGGGCTCGCTGGCCTGTCACCTGGGGGCGGGGCAGGGCTCGTCCTGTGCCCACCCTCCTGCCAGCTCCTCCGGGGGAGCCCCTCTCCCCACCCGCCTTGCGTCCTCAGTGTGGTTTGCAGAGACTCCCATGCTCTTTCTGTTCACTGGGACAGAGACTTTAGCGCTCCCACCTTTGACCCTGTAAAACACCTCCCCACACCGCCCCTGGTGTCACCCTCGCCCGTGGAATTCGCCCCCCTTGCTGGTGCCTGTACCCCCTGCAGGATGCAAAGTGGACGTCAGCCGAGGCCGGCAGCAGAGCAAGGAAGAGAGGGCTGACCGGGCTCGGGTGTCACGGGTGTGACGGCGCAGCCCTGTCTTCTGCCGCGGGGCCATCGGCAGCTCCCGCTGGCCGACACAGGGTCCCTGATGTGTGCTCAGGATGCAGCCGTGGCTGGTTTGGGGTGCGGGGGGAGCACCGTTATCCAGAGGCAGTGGGGAGGGAGCTTCTGGGGATCGGGCCCTGAGCAGAGGCAGCTGGTCTGCCAGGTGCATTCTAATCCCTGGAGATCAGGAAACTGAGTCAGGTGAGCCCCCAGACAGCACCGGGGAGGGAAGGGTTACAGGCTGAGCTCAAAGGAGCAGCTTCTCTGAGTGCAGAGCGGCTCCCTCCTGCCAGTTAGGGGCTTTTCTGGCAACTTCTATCAAAGACTGTGCTAGTTCTTGATGCTCTGAGGGAATAGAACCATCACAGGAATTGACTGGGGTCAAAAACCGCTGCAATAAAACTTCCGAGAATAAAACACGCACACATACATGCATGCACACGCATGTGCACGCGAGAGCGGGTGTACACTGGGGGAATCCGAATCGGGTCGCTGCGTGTGCCAGTGTCAATTTCCTGTGGACCTGTACTCTAATTCTGTAAGATGTGAGCCTTGGGGAAACCTGGGGAAGGCCGTCCTGGTTTCTCTGTCCCGTTTCTTACAACTGTGTTTGGATCCACAATTATCTCAAAATCAAACATTGCCAGTGAGAGTCCCCACATCAAGATGAGCCTCTGTCCAGGCTGGGTCAGGCTGGGGGGGTTTCTGGCCACTTGGGCCAGGACCTGTTGCCTCTGTCATAGTAAAGGGAAGGGGTGAGTGACACGCCAAGGCAGCCTTGGGGACAGAGCACTTAAAATAAAACAATATGATGCCCAGCCCCCAGAGCGCTGCAGCCCCTCTCACCCACACAGCGTGTGCGTTACTTAGCAGCCTCTGGGACAGCCCGGAATTCGTGATGAGGGTGTGGTGGTGTTGCCATGGAGACGTCATCTTTGAACCTCCTGGATTTGCTGCATGTACAGCCTTTTTTGGGGAGAGGTCGGGGCCCTGAGGTCAGGGCATTTGAAGGTGGACCCTAAGGGCCCAATATACGTGTCCCCTCTCCTGTGGAAGGAAGGGCTGCTTCGTTTCTGAGGCTGCAGAGAAACACCGGGACCTCACCCCTCCTGCCGTCATCTGTGTGACCCAGACGAGGTCCTGAGCTTTGAGGAAAAGAGGGCGCCACTAGCTGCAGTCTCCCAACAGCTTGAGAAATCTCACCTTCCGTTAGCAGCTGAGCAAACATCAAAACCAAACTGGGGCTCACACGGCAACTGCAGCAGTGCGGGGTTGGGGGCGGGGGGGATGACGCACCAGAGTAACGCCCCCGACCCTGCACCCCCCGTGCCAGTCGCCTCCACGTCCAAGTCCCATTGGGCTGGACCTGGGGCCAGGGGGACAGCCCCGGTTGGCGATGGCCACCGGGTGCCAGGTGCCGGCCATAGCTTGTCTTCCTTAGACCTTGCACTTACCGATCCCACTTTACAGCCAGGAAGCTGAGGCCCAGACGGGTTCACTGACAGCTGGGACTCTGGGCGTTTGAGTGCAAGCCTGTTCACTCGCCGCTGCCCAGCAGGAAGCATTGGCACCACCTCCGACACCGTCACTGCCACTCGTCCCGTGGCGTTGACCCCATAGTGATAATTAATGAGCTCCGACCGCAGGCCAGATACTGTCCAGGCCTTGTGTCTGCGTTGTCTTCCGTCCACCACCTGCAAACCAGCTTCTCCTTACAGTTCAGTGAAGGGGGCTCGGCATTCAAGCAGCCCGCCCACGGCTGCCCAGATATTCATGAGCAGTGCCCACGAGGTGTCCCGCTCGTCCCAATTTCCCAAAGTCACAAGCCACGCGCGCGGCGCGTAGGAAGCCCGCCATTGCTGTGCGCGGGGGGCGTGGACGCGTCGCTCGTTCCTGCGCAGCCTGATGCCCCTCGCCCCTCGGATTTCGAGAGCAGGAAGCTCCCGGCCACGCCCGGGAGGGTGAGGGTCGGTCCCGAGGCACGCCTGCCACTTGGCATCTTGTCACCCTCAGACCTGGTCTCCACCGTGGGCGGCTTTGCCACACCCCCTTGTCGACTCACGTTTTTCTCCAGCGCCCCAGACCCCTTTCAGAATGAGCAGGAAGCCACCCAATGCGTAAATAGACTCTTTCCCACCCCGGATGTTAAACATCTGACAGAATGAACTGGAAGGAAGAGCCACGTCTGCGGAAACGTCTTTTATTTCCCAGACGCAGCTTTGATTCCTTGCGCTCAGCCTTTGGAGCCCTCCGCCAGCCCTCGCTCGCCCCCTGGGCAGGCGGCCCCACCTGTTGCACCTCAGTTTGTCCACCTGTGAAATGGGACGATCTTTGTGGTATTTCTCTTGGGGCTGCCCTGATGACCGAGGGGCCGTGCTGGTGCCCGTAAGTGCCCCATACACGCTGTTCAAGGGCTGTGCTGTTACCCAGAGTAGGAGGAAGTGGGCGTTTGCCCCTTGGACGTGGCCGCTCTCGTTGGCGAGGACTCTGAGGGCTTGGGGGTCCCGGGGGTGCCCCCGCCGTCCTGACTGCCGGCTCTGTTGCAGGGATGGGCTGCCCTACTGTGAGGCGGACTATCACAGCAAGTTCGGGATCCGCTGCGATGGCTGTGAGAAGTACATCACGGGGCACGTGCTGGAGGTAAGGGGGCCCGCCTGGAGGCTGCAGGCATGACCCTCGCCCGCTCTAAGGTCTTCTCTGGGCACGGGGGTCTGCCCGCCCCCTAGGAGTTAACAGAGAGGATAAGAAGGCGCCTCTCGTGGCGTCTGTGGTGTATGTTTGTGCAGGAACCCGCACCCCTGAGCCTCTGCCTCCCAGCTCTAACAGAGGACACCTTCCAGGGTCTGCCCAGTGAGTGCCACCTCCTCCAGGAATACTTCCCTGCAACACTCTCTCACCTGTGCCCTTTACACGTTGACAGAGAGGTGGGAAGAACTTGCGATCCTGGTTCAGCCCTTTGGCATCTAGATGGGAAATCTGAGGCTTGGCGGGTTGCAAAGGCAGCCTGGGAGGCAGGGCTGGGTCCACAGAGGCGGACAGGTCACCCAGCGATCTCAGGTTGGGGCATTTCTGCTGACAGGTGCGTTTCTTGGTCTGGGTGGTAGTTACACGGGTGTGTCCCTTTGTGAAAATAACACGTGTTATGCACTTTACTACATTTGTTCAGTAAGATCAATTCCATGGGGCGCACAGGACCAAACCCACCCCCCTGATGCTCTGGCCCAGCCTGCCCCCCCACCCCACTCTGCAGCCCCTCCTGGGCTCTGCGCTGGGGCGGGTGGATGGGCCATCCCTCGGCGAGCATATGGTCTGTTGGGGAGGGCAGAGGTAACCAGAGGACCTGGGGGGTGGGGAGGGGGCAGAGCAGTGGGAGAGGAGGGGCCCTGACCCAGCCAAGGGGCCTGGGAGCCTTTTCCAAGGAGGTCACAGAAGCAGCCTCTGGGGGTGGGAAGACAGGTTGGGGTCTGAGGCTGTGGGGCCCAGGCCACCCTCCCAGACAAGGGCTAATGAACCCTGGAAAGCCTGGGTCGATTTGCATACCAGAGAGCTCCCTCAGGCTGCCGCTGAGGCTGGACTTGAGGCCAGAGTCGGGGAGGCCAGCCAGGAAGGGCTGGGCCTTCCCACATCCCCGAGGACTCCTGCGCTGCCCGCCCCACAGCTAGAGCCCAGCCGTAGCGGGCGCAGGATGCCTTGGTGAATTGCACGTTGAGCACTGAGCTGCTTTTCTTGAAATTACACTTGACATCAGAGCTGCAGGGAGAGAGTTGCCCCAGGGCCTCAGCTCCAGGTAGCGGGGAGGGGAAGGGGGTGGCCACACCCACCCAGGGGCAGTGAGGCCCTCCCCACCATCTCCCCATTTCCCAGATGCCACAGCGGGAACGGTCCCAGGCTCTGTGCAGAGCTGTGCCCTTCTACGCCCAGAGGCCCCTGCGGCGGGGCTGGGATTACACCCTCATTGACTGTAGAGAGTTTGCAAAGCACAAATAAAGGGGGAAGTCACTGACATGCGATCATATTTAGCTGAACTTTTTGGCTGGATTCCTTCCAGTTTTTTCTCTCTCCACATGTCAGAGTTGGCATCAAACCATTTATACATTATATCCTGATTTTTTTCAACTCCCATGTCCCATTTAATAGGTTCCTATGTTTTTGTTTTGTGTTTTATGGGTCTTTTTGTAAACAGCCTAATTGGAATATAGTTCACATACCACGCAATTCACACGTGTAAAGTGTGTGATTTGGTGGTTTTTAGTATCTTCACAGAGCTGTGCACCCATCCCCACAGTCCATTCTAGGACATTCTCATCACCTCAAGAAGAAGCCTGTACCCCTTAGCCATTCCTCCCCTACACCCTGAGCCCGTGGCGGCCACCAATCTACTTTGGTCTCTGTAGAGTTCCCTGTTCTGGACGCGTCATGTAAATGGAATCGTCCACTATGTGGGGTCCTCTGTGATTGAATCTGTCTCACAAAGTAACATTTCCAGGTGCATCGCACGTAAGAGTGTTTCAGTGTTGCATCGTATTTCCTCGTAGGAGTAGACCAGAATGCTTTAGGCTGATCATGCATCGTTGGACAGAGCACCGTTTTCTACGATAAATAACACTGAGATGAACATCTTTTTTATTGCATTTCTAGTTTTCCTTAAGATTCATTCACAGAAGTGTAGAAACTGAGCCAACAACCATGAACTTTGTGAGGGTTCTTGACACATAAATTGCTTTCCAGAAAGTTTATTCTGATTTACGTGCTTATCAACAGAGCGCGATCTTTCCCATCTCCCACCCTGGGTGTAATCTTTATGAAATCCTGTGTCGAGCTGATAGGGGAGAACGTGGGGCCTCGCTGCTGTTTGCTTCCCTCCCACCCCTAGTGGTGCCGGGTCTTCTTTGTCATTTTTAGCCAATCAGAGTTCTTGCATTTCAGTTATCTTCCGTCAGCATCGCCTGTTTCTACACTGGGGGCTCCATGTCTTTCTGACGGAGTTGGGCGGGTGGTCACGTGATGAGACTGTTGACATCTCATCTGATGAATAGCTTGTATGTTTTTCTGGGGTGGTGATCACGCCTCATGCTTGTACCCCCATCCTCCGAGCGTGCACGAAGGATGCGTCCTCCCGCCGTACCCCACGGTGACGTCTCACCTGGCCCTCCCATCTCTCCAGGGCTCTCTGCTCACCCAGACCCTGCTGCAGACCCTGCTCTGGGGGAGTCTGGGCAGCCACCACCTCCGGCAGCAGCACCGAGGCTTCTGGAGGATCCCCCGGCCAGGGCCCCACCTGCCGCAGTGCCTGGCAGTTCAAGCCTGTTTCTCTCTGTTCCCCCAAAAGACTGTTCCAGACCTTCCTCGCTCTCCTGGGCTGCTGCCCTCCCACCCCAGCCGGCCAGCCACAATGACCTTGTCTAAGACTTAACAGAGAGAGGGTCAGACGCCACTCAGGGCTGTCTGCGAAGCTTCTAGCCCACCCGCTCCTGCCCTTCCTGACGGAGGCTCTGTCTCTCCTCCCAGCCACAGCCCCCAACCCTGTGCTCCGGTCCGAACCCCGCCCGCCTCCTCTGGAGCCTTACCCTGCCATCTCCTTTCCTCCCTGGGGGCCACAAGGCATCCTCCTGGTGGTTTGTTGAAACAGCTCAAGTCGCCCCCGTTTAAAGAGACTAGAAACCTGTCGCCCTCACCTGTCCAGGTCCGCCAACCGCTGCACCGTCTCTTCAAGCCACTCCCCAGAGCGCCGGCCCCCTCCCGCCCTGCTTGGTGCCCTCACTCTGTGGGCTCGTGTCTGTGTGTCTGGGAGAGCGTGTGCCGGGCTATCGGCCACACGCAGGGCCGAGCCCACTCGAGCCCAGGAGGCCCAGCCGGGCTCCCGGTGCCTGTTCTTGGCCCGACCGCCTGGCCGCCCCCTGCGTAGGTGTTGCTTTGTGCTGTTTCACGCCATGCTGTGATACCTGATGGCCTTAGCGGGCAGCATCTTAGGCTCTGTGGGCTGAGCAGTTGTCGCCACAGGTGTGTGACTGTAGCCTGGCCCGCTTCCGGCACCCTTTGGGGTGGGCGGGACACGCCAGCCCCGGCCCTGGCGGCCCGGTCACCAGAACCTCCTCGGGGATCCGAGGGGTCGTGTCTGCGGAGTGTCCCCCAGCTCAGCGCCGGCCACGAGGTAGCTGATGGGGGCTGGAGGATAAAGGGCCTCCCAGGGAAGATGAATGCTTTTGTTTTCGCCCCTGCGGGCGGCGAGCTCCGCGGTGTGTTGAGTCAGCGGGACCTGCACAGCTCTGAGATTCCTCCCCAGCGAGGCGGCAGCTGCAGGCAGGCGGGCGGGGACAAGCCAGCTCCACAGAAGGGAGCAGTCACCGTGCTGGGACCCAGCTGGGCGTGCAGTGGGCTCTTGAGGGCCGGCAGGTGGCAGGGGACAGGACTTGAAAAAGAAGGAGAAGGATCCAGACCGCTGGCTGGAGGGTGAGGGCATCTCTGTGCCCCCGCTCTCTGCCCCCGTCCTCACGGTCACACTGCCTGTTCCTGCCAGCCTGTCCCGGGAGCGGGGCTAGACAGGGGCCGAGGGGCCGACTGCTCCGACTGGGCTGTGGTACCAGGACCCCGTGCAGGTAGGAAGCTCTCTGGGCCGATGGGGAGGCCACACTGGCTGCAGGTGGGTGGGATTGCAGGGAGCGGGGCAGATCAGCCAGGTGCAAGGCCCCCAAGGCACCTGCCACCCCACCGGCTCTGCCTCCTAAGGTGCTTGAGTAGGGGAGCAGCCCGGGCCTCTTCCCCGCCCCTGCGGGAGCCCTCAGTCTGTGCCGCGTCTGCATGCACCGGGCCCGGTGCCGACCTATGCTGGGCGCCCGCCCGTGGGATGTGCATTTGGTGGTAGTGCAGTCCCCCCACTCCCTCTGTCACTCGAAATACTTAACATCCTCCACTGCATGTTGTCTCGCATCCTGCGTGTCTGGGGTGTCTGTCCTGATGAGCCAGCTCCATGCCGGGAGCGTCCTGGGTCCGGTGGGGACCTGGGAGGGGCTGACACAAGCCCCCTCCCCGTCGCGGGGTTGGCTGGCTGGGGTGGGGGGGCAGGGCAAGGAGCAGAGGTAGGGGGCTGGGAGCAGCCCTGCTGCAGTGCTGGCTCCTGGGGATGGAGTCTCTCCACGGAGAGAGCTGGAAGGTGGCTGTGCATTGCCAGGGGACGGTGGTCTAAGCAGATCAACCAGCCCAGGGCTGGACGAGCGGAGGGGGTGTTGAGTGAGAGGGGGTCCCTGGCTGAGTCCCTGCCATCACGTTGTTCTCTACTGGTTCTCACAGTATTAGCAGGAACAGGTGGGCGGGGGCGGGGAATGGGGTGCGTCTTGGCCAGCCCCATCCTCCTTATAACCCGGGCGGGGCCTCTGTCTGAGCCCCACCTGCCTCCTGCAGCCTGGCTGTCTCCATGGTAACAAGAAGCCCAGGGTCCCCCTGGGACCACTAATTAATGCCTCCCTCCCTTTGTTCCTTCCTCTGTGCTTCCCTCCCTCCCTCCCTCCTTCTTCCCTTCCTTCCCTTCTCCATCCACTACTCACCTTCCTGAAGGCTCACTGTGTCCCAGCCTGGCCTGGGGGCGGAGTTCCCGGTGAGGACGGTGGCAGGGGTCCCCCTGCCTGACCTGGAGGAGCCCTGGA